AATTCTTAAGATTCTGAGAGAAATATTTTTTTCTGTTTGCCTCCAATCGTGTTATCAAAACCTTTTGTGTTACAAAGGACAGGTGGTAGGTGTGATCCATTGCTCAAGACTATAAGTTATTTATCATGTATTGTGCAATTCATTCTTTTCCTCAAACTGTGTCTTGTTTCAAAGCATGTCCTCAAATAGGCAGGCAAAGAACCGTAAAAGAGTCTAATGTAAAAAATCTAATCTGTCTCTTAGGTGGAGGAGATGGTGCAGAATCATATGACTTACTCTCTTCAGGACATGGGTGGAGATGCCAACTGGCAGCTGGTAATAGAGGAAGGAGAGATGAAGGTGAGTACAGAGGAGAGAAGCAACTATGAATCATTTCCCTTGATTGCTAGCTGTGAATATTTAAATCTCATTCACTTTTTTTAATGGAACTGTTTGCAGTAGAAGCATTGATAGATCAGAAACAGGGGAACATTTATCAGCTAATGGAAGTGGAAGAACTAATCAAATATTTTAAGTAGAAGTAAAATTCATGCCATAATTGAAAATGAATCCATTAACTCCATGAAATAAGTTACCACGACTTATTTTACTTAAAGGTCCAGTGTGTTTGAGAACCAGTACACAAGACCGTTAAATAAAATACTCCATGCAGATCAGTTTCATGTCAGATCAGGTTATCCGTCACTGGTAGAATTAAGAGGAACCTTCAGGGTAGGTTTTGTAGCGAGGTTATGAATATGTTTGTAGTACTGATTTGACTTTCCATTTGTTCTGTACTTTGTGTAACAGGTGTACAGGAGAGAAGTAGAGGAGAACGGTATTGTGTTGGATCCTCTAAAAGCTACACATTCTGTGAAGGGGGTGACAGGACATGAAGTCTGCCACTACTTCTGGGACACAGATGTCCGATTGGACTGGGAGAGTAAGTTCACTATCCCAGAAGACACCATCACATCAACACAGTTTGACTTTCTCTGTTTTAATGTCATAACCTGACTGAACTCTTCCTCCCTCAGCCACCATTGAAAATTTCAACGTTGTGGAATCTCTCTCTGATAATGCCGTCATTGTTTACCAGACGCACAAGGTATATTGACTTCATGGTAGTTTTAGATGTTTGCAGGAATGTGTTGCACATTTGATCAGTTATATTCTGTAGCCTATTTTATTTCCAACTGAATGCCTCTGGTTGTGTTTCAGAGAGTGTGGCCTGCGTCTCAGAGAGATGTCCTCTATCTGTCAGCAATCAGGAAGATCTTGGCAACAAATGAAAATGATCCCGACACATGGCTGGTCTGCAACTTCTCTGTGGAACACGACAAAGCCCTTGTAAGAGTATTACATTACACTTACTACTATCATGCAACATTGCAAGTGAGCTGACAACTATTAAGTTATACTGCTTGGCCTATTTTTGTATGCATTTCTTATTTATTCATTTTTGACATTTTCCTAGATGTATGAGGCATCCAAGTACTGTGATTAAAAATGCATTTGATTCATTACAGCATATAATTACAGTTATAGCTTAGTCAAACAAGGCTTTTTTATATGGCCCTCTGTATGGATAAATGGAAGAAAGAGTCGTTCTAGACCTCATAACCTCAATTACTCTTTCAAATTAGCAACAGTGAAATGTATGGCCGCTTGGGGATTGTCTACATTTACATTTTTGCTTTACTTTCAGCCCACAAACCGGTGTGTTCGTGCCAAAATCAATGTTGCTATGATTTGCCAAACGCTGGTCAGCCCACCAGAGGGTGATAAAGAGATCAGCAGAGACAACATCCTTTGTAAGATCACCTACGTTGCCAATGGTGAGTGCCTCTCCAGCCTGATAAGGTTTTGATCTCAGTGTATATGCCCTAGAGAGAGAGCAAGATCAGCAGCCAACAGAACAAAGCCTCTCTATTGTCATCAATCCAAGTATAATCTACCTACAAACACCTTTAGTATTAACATCCAACCTACTGTAAATATGAGAACAAAGTGTTAAGCTGAGGCCTCAACCCCCGGTCAATTTGCATCATTGTGTTATTTTCTGTCTGTGGACAGTCCACACTAATATAAGTAAAACCTGAAGGAAGTGGTGGAGGAGAAATTAAAGAAAGCAAAAATGAAAATGTTAAGCACTAGACTGATACTCTGATAGGCTAATGCATTGGCAAACTGATGAAGATATATTGTGCTTTTGGATTATAGCTTAAGGGAAGCAGAAAAGTCCTCAAAAGCCCCACTGTCATAGCCTCAATAAATACAGCTTGAATGTTTACTTGAGTTGGCACATGAAGTTAGCTGGGTGGGGGGTTATGTTGACTTATTGAGTGATGGTGAGCAGGTGTTTAAACCATCAACAAATAGCCGCAGGTCACATAGGGGCCTAAAAGAAAACAAGTGGATTTAGTAGATCCATTGTATATGGATTCAGTGTAGCTAAACTGTCAGAAAAACTGTAGCTGGCTTGTTTTATTTTATTTTGTTTTTAAATTCTAAAATTCTATTCTATTGTTTGTCTGACACCTTTTTCTCAAATGAACAACCTAATTGGTCTTGGTACAGCTGGTAGCCGACACACAAGCTAGACTGTCTGTGTGCTTGTGTCTTTGAAATGTCAGTCCAGACTTGTACAGCTTCCTCCCTCCCCTGACTTCTTCCTGACAAGGAGATTGTGACATAAAGCAGCTCTGCAGAAGGAATCCTGAGCCAATTTATTGTTTGAGAAGTCAGGCAGGTTATGGGAGTTCATTTGAGAAAAATAAGCATTACATTTCCTCTCACTAGAGGGCACCCTAGACCCAAGTGTGTGTACTGAATCTTTACACTGTGGGTTTATGACTTATAATTTTACTATAAGTTAGCACGTACATGTAGTTTACTGATAATGTTCCTCTGTGTGCCTGCAGTAAACCCTGGAGGCTGGGCTCCAGCATCAGTTCTCAGAGCTGTGGCAAAGAGAGAATATCCTAAGTTCCTCAAGCGCTTCACCTCCTATGTCCAGGATAAAACTGCTGGGAAGCCCATCCTCTTCTGAACACAAAGAGGTAACCAGGAACCCAAACACATTTTGTTTTACAACTGAGAAAGCAATTAAACAGAGGTATTGCATTTATCACACTGTTACTGACGTTGTTGAAAGGAATATATCTTGGCTGGTGCTTTATCTGTAATTTAAACCATGGAAAAGCCAACAAATACATCTGTTATTTCAGTTTTGTTAACTTTTGTTGACTTTTACCTCCCCTTTTGTTTCAGGCTTGCAGCGGGCCAGGGTTGCCCACTGGAGAGGCTTCGCTGTTCAGCAATGAACAAGCTTTCCGTGACTACATGACCTGTTTTCAAACTTACTACAGGCAGGGCACCATATCATCCTGGACGTCCCACTGACACCTGCTTGTAGAAGAGACTGGTTTTACGGCTTTAATCCATCAGTAGTTGTCATCCCAGCCACATTATAATGGCTTAACACCATCTGTTGGTCATTGGTACATTTGTATGTAAATTCAAGAGTTTCCTAAGTGGTTTTTGAATGGTTGTTACCGATTATTTGCTTTTTTTGTAAATTGTTTTGTACATTTCTTATGATTACATACTTCTTGACTTTTTTGGGTTTGCTTTAATCACTAGTATTACAGCTACTTGTTTTGCTGCTGCTAAAGTAACTACCATGAGAGAGGAAAGTAGATATTGACAGGAAAAGCATTGATGAGGTGTGGTACAGTATCTCCTCTTTCTTGCCTTCTCCTGTCCCTCTAGTGATTACTCTCTTTGCAGTTTGATGGGGGGCCAGAACCTAAACCTTTGAAATCTTTATATTTCTAGATTGTTATAAAGTAGCTTCCAGAGAGCACCATGGACACAATGTATTGTACAGAGAAAACACAGTTTTCAGTTAGTTTACCAATATGAGAAATGTGAATTGACTGTTAAACGCTTGAATTTGATGACAGTAATGGGCCAAGGATACCTGAAGCATTTTATAAGTCTAATTAACTTGTGTTAGACAATATTTTTGACACAGTTGAACTGATAATCAATCAATTGGATATCTATGATGTAATTGACTGTGGTTTATAGATGCTAAGTTGCGGCCTATTGTCAGCATGTATCTGTCTTTGATCTCCATGTCACACACGGTTTTGTGACAGATATTTGCAAATAGCCAGCAACAGTGTCTGATATAAAGATTCCTCTCTTTCATTGAGAGATGAGTGGATACATTTTGTATAGCCAAGGCTGTTTTTCACAATTTTCAGCCCCTGATGAGGCAGAAAAAAATGTCTGTCCATTCCCGAGTGTCAAGTTTGTAAATTAGTCCTGCTGCTGTTGTGCAGGATAAAGTGAAGTTGTAAAATGTTGAGTAAGATATCATCTACACCCTACATTCAAAGTTATACTCTAATGTTACATTTCACATGCCACACTACAGTGCAGTGGCCTCTTGCCCTTTGACTGATAAACTACCCCCAGAATGCCTTAGACACCAGGATGAACCCTAAAAATCCTGGTTTTCTCTACTGTACAGCCACCAGATGTGCATTTATCAACACTGAAATGAGCGGTGGGGGAAAGGGTCAGCATTTCACATCATCTTACCTCAAGATTTAAATTTACTCTAGGTTATTTTTATGCCATCAACAGTTGGGAGTTTTGCAATCAGTAGATCTGCGTGGTCGAAAATTCACTATCAGATTTTTTTTGGTCGAAGGGGTCTGATGTTAGGAAGGATCTGGATAATTGTTTTGCTGATGATTACAATAGCTAGATCTACAAGCAATGCCAGCTGAAGAATGCATTTAGTGTTTTTAATTTTGATATTTTGTCAATAATCTACACACTTTGTATATTTCTAAGTTGTACATCGGAAGTGTTATTATTTGCACTAAATGTAATGCAATTTGACAATGTTCTGTAAATTAAAATTGTTACACAACAGAAAAAGGTGCAGTGTACTGTTTTAGTGCCACTATTGTGAATGTGAGGGCCATTTCTGTAATAAAAAAAACAACAGGTAATTCCCAAATTATGCATACATACAAATAAGCTAAACAGTAGTCATTGAATTTAAGCTGTTTATTTATAGGAGTCTCTTCTATATATATATATATATATATAAATATGCATTGTCTTTACATTCAGCGATTAAAGTATTTTTTCAGCAAATGGTAAAATATTGAGATTTACATAATAAATTATGGTCTCAACCAACGTGTGATCGTGGAATTCAACATTTATAGTTGGATATGGTCTTGATGTAGAGGTATCGGACAGCTTCTAAGTGTAGGAGGCATGTCTCAGAACTTCTTAAAGAGGACACACTTATTCAGTATCAAAGGATATCCTGAGTAAAAGCATTTCATGACACAAACCTCACAAAACTAGTAGCTCCACATCAGAAATGATCTACAATGTTCCGTCACTGTCTCTGTACATGTAGTATCAATGACTTACAGAGGTGTGCATCTGTAGAGTAAAAAGAGGAAGAAAAAAAAGTGCATATTCACATATCCAAATCTGTGCTTATGTCAGGTAGCCCACCCACTTAAGCAACTTCTTCAGAGAAAAATATTTCTTACAGTAATCATAACCAATGTCAAAAGTGCCTTTTTATCAAGAGCGAATGCATCATCCTTCCGCTCTGTGCTTCATCCAACATCCAGTAACTGTCTTTTCTCACTTAACAGCAGTCCTTCGCCAGGGCTTCAGGTTCCTGTCAGGGCAGCACAAATAACAGCCCAGTTAGGAATAGGATGAGGTGGCCACTTTAGCCACGTCACAGTCTGTGTTGGGCCTCAGGAGCTTCAGAATCCATCAAGTCTGTTCATGTGAGTCTTTTCTCATTTGTGTTGGCTGTGGCAACAAACTGGCTTGTGTCCTTTGTGTGACACTGTCACATCCCCGTTCATCGGGGACAAAGATGCCATCATAAATTCACTGTAAACATTTTCTCTTCTGATTAGCAACCAATGAAGTTGCAAACTAGAAAGTCTCCTTCATTCAATTCTCGTCAGCAGAAAAAAACATTTAAAGAAATGTATCTACCTCTCCTCGTATGTATATACAGTAAATGTTTAGGTCTTTGTGTAGGCCATGAAAACAGTATACATATATAAAACTTAATGGCACTGCGTTGATGCATGCTCTAAAAAGCGACACTCAGTTCAGCCTGATGTTCATCACATCCATGATATTTCACATGGTTCCTGCAGATGTCCATGGCTGTGACTCTGTTGGTGTCTTCTTTTAGTCCATCAACCAATGGAGAATCTCAGTCTTTTTATGTGTTGGCAATACAAGTGGCAACATGGATCTAGCAGCACTGGAAGTGGAGTCAAAGGCCAGCTTGCCCGTCCAATGGAGTGTGGCGATTGTCTTATGATTGGCAGGAGGAAGGGAAGGTTGTAAAGCTGCTATTTTCACTGTAGGAGAGGAGAGAGAAAATGATTATTGTTAGCGTAGTTTAGGCCTGTTTTCTAAATGTGAACCAGGTACACATGCATAAGCAAAGATGATTAACATCTGAACACCTTAAGAGGACAAAACAAGTAACAAATTCCTAAGAATTACCCCAATGTGACAGTGACCTGAAATAACAAATGAAGAAACAACCCACCAAGTAGACGTCGAGAACAGATCCATCATCACGGTCTATGTCCACATCCATGGTGCTCTGCTCTGAAGTGAGGCAGATAGCACTGTCCTCCAGGGTAAACGTAGAGCTGGATGCAACGTCATCTCTGAGAAAAAAAAATATTTTCATATTACCTACAGTATGTAGCAGACAGCCCTGAGAGTGTATTGTCTGGGTCAAAGGCAGTTAAAATAAAGCAGCTGTATAAACAGTGCACGGATGAAAACAAACTCTCCAGAAACAAATCACAGACTATTGCAGAGACAGGGACATCAAAGAAACAAAGAGATGAACCGACTGCGAGCAGGATGGGAAACGCGTCTGGCTCATAGTCTCCGAAATGTCTCACAGGAAATGAACAAAGTATCCTCGAGATTGGTCAGATTTGACCACAATGGTAAAAATGAGACCTTTGCTGGGAGAGTATGTTGCACAAGTGGTCACATTTAGAATAAGAGATAAAAATGATCTTAAGGTAAATATTTAAAAATATTTCAGTTTCAGTTTGAGGGAAGACAACATTTGAGTCAGAAAATCTTACCATCTTAACTGAGCTGGGAGTGTTATATATGCTTTAAAATATGTCAGATATGTATGTGAGTGAAGTCTACCTAAAAAGTAGCCTACTGACCCATCACCTGTGCACTAGAAGCCACCAAAGACACAAAACCAAAACTACACCTTTATCCTCATGCAGCCAATACAAATGCACGCTAGCTTTTCTCAGAAATTCCTGATTTGAGTCAGTGGGGGGAAATGTGAAAAGTAATACCTCAATTAAACCAAATAAAAAGCATAAAACTAGCAACATGTAAATGTAGTTCAATTATGTACCTGAGTGAACTATGAGAATGCATCACTATAATATATGGCGTTAAATGTAGTTTGACCATCAGGAGACAGAGTGCAATGTTGTTCATCATCCATTTCTTTTACAGTTCTGGTTCAACCACCAGGGGGCAACTTGAGAGCGGTCTATCTTTATGTACATCATAAGGATTCTGTATTTACCTTTTTATGACATTTGACTGACTACTTTCTGTGTTCAAAGTCAAAATTAAAGCCAGGTAGAGAGAGAAGCAGAGAAGTCCCATTTTAAAGATGGATGAATACGGATTGAAAACAATCGTACCCTGACACATAACATGTGGTGTCACTACTGTAACAGGCAGACCGGCTGTCAGACTGGGATTATTGTTGGTGGATGTACAGTTGCCACTGCACCGCTTGTCGTCTTTTGTCACAGTCTTTCTGCAGCATAATGGCACTAAGTAAGTCCGTGTCAAAGAAGCTGTTTAAATATTTATGAAAACAGTTGACAGAACAAAGTCACTGCAGCAGCAGGTGACTGATGAGGGGACAAGACCGGGCAAGCCACACAATGGTGCTTCAGAAAGCCAACTGAACCTGACACTGCTGGACAGAAGAAGAGGTGAAAGATGGGAAACACGCAGAGGGCAGAGGACAAAGTGTTCAGAAGCTTCTAGCGAAAAGCGAAATTAAACTGTTCCTGTGTAGGTGTAGGTGTAATAAAACCTGTTAATATCATACTTGGATTATTATACAGTAACATTTGTATCAGATTTTACAATATAAAAGTGTCAACACTGTACCATTAAGACATTGGATAAATTAGGCTGTAAGAACTGCTGGTTGAGAATTTCTTCTTCTTTGTCTTGTAAATGAAAGAGGCTAACAGTACCCACTCATCCTTTAACCATCCATAAGTTGTGTAGGAAGTGTGTGTATATATACTGGAAGCCCGTTGCCAAGCCAGCTGAGTCACCTGCTCCATGACACACGTCACCAATAAGACCATGTGACGTCAGAGCACAAGTGACAATAATATATGAGATTGTGTGTGCTGGGTGTGGCAAATTTCCTTGCATCATGGTTTTAAAGTGATAAACTACACGTTCCACCGCTCAAACAACACGTCAGCGTCATGATGAAAAAGGGAAAAGGAAAGCAACTAGACACAGTACCTCTCTTGTGTTTGGTTGTCCACATTGACAAAGATGGAGGAAGTGGAGATGGTTCCCATGGAGGAGCCCTCGTAGAAGGACGGGTTGGCAGGGACCAGATCAGGACGCAGGTACGAGCCAAACACAGCTGAGGAGAAAACATTGACATGCATGTGATATCAGTAAAGGAAAACAAGTTCACACTTTCCAACATACCCCATGATATCTTATATATTCTACCCTTGCTTCATGCCCCCAGTTTTTCTTAATTTGGACTCAGACTTCTGAAAGCTCCACATCCACAGTGTACAACTTTTAACCCATGATGAGTGAACTGAACTTTGTAAAATTAGTGGTGTTTGCCTTTAAATCAATGAATGAATGAAATGTGCTTTTCATTGTTGACTTCAAAGTTTAAACAGGCCTAATCACTGAGACAAGGCAGGACATGAGAATTTGATTTAAGTAAATTAATTAAATGGTTTCAATAACACTTTTTGTATTGACCTCACACTTAATAGTAAAAGTAGTACTCTAAGAGACTGATTGAGTAACCATAAAGAGGGAAGAACAATCCAAATTGATTTATAGTATGTTGCGTCACAGCTGGACACAGACGGGAGAGCGAGGACACATGACCCCTGTGACTTCTCTTTCCACTCCACACCCTTGTTTCTTTCCGGTGTGGTGTTGGCTAACACTCCTTCTCCATATCAAACACAAAGGTCAGATGTTTCTGCTGAACGTGTGCATCGCTGCAGACACTTTCACCCTCTACAACACCTGAGTCATATACCTTCATGTACTGGGGTCAGATTTGTCATCGTCATAAGAGAAAGTGAGAAGGGGAGGTGAAGACAACACAGCTAAAACTAGACAACTCTTTTTTTAAACAGGCTGCTAGTAACAAGGTAGTGTCTGTTGTCTTTCCTACAAGGCCAAACACTGTATCAACCAGTGACAGCCCCCCCCCCCCTCACCCCCGGGGCAGTGATGAGTGGACAACATTTTTATGGCCGAATCCAAGTGGCTGTTTATGGGTCTCAAGTGTTTCTAAAAAGCTCTAAAGCCACAAAAACTAGAAAATGACAGAGGCTGATTAGAGTAGGAGGCCATTTAGAGAGAGACGCGGTGAGGATAAAATGGGAAAATGGCAATAAAAATCGTTTAGGTTTTGAGTTTCAAATAATCTCATTAATAATTCAGGCACTTCTATGAATGTTGTCAAACAACAAGATACGCTGTCTTACAAACTAAATGGAAAAAATGTGCAGTCTAAAAAAGTTGCTGTGTTGTGTACCTTGTCCGTCCAGACTAGCCAGACTGTAAGCTCCTCCCAGCCTGTCCCTCCTGTCCTCCTCGTTCCTCTCATCTGCCTGCGATGAAAGAATCTCCTGTGAGGACGACTTCAGAGCTGGGATAGAAGTACGCGTCCTCTTTGAAGGGGAGAATCGAATTGCTGCAGAGCGAAAAGGAGCGTCCAAGTGAGGGAAAGAAAAGATAAAAAGCGAGAGATAAACATTCAGAGAAGCAGAAAGAGGAGGTAGTAGAAAGAGACGATTATCCTGATTAAAGCAAAGTTCACACACAATGAAACTCTAAAGCTCTGCCTCCAAAATTAGTAAAGTAAAATTATCATTAAACTGTTAAAATGCACAATGACGATTACACAAGTGTCCCCTAAGCCATCCTTATTCTGCCTCCCAAGCAGGGCATGAAATTAAATCCTTTCCTGTCATCTCCCTGTGACGGGACTTGGCGATGGTTAATAGCACAGCTAAATCCTCAAATCTTTGCTTCAGCCATGTTAATTTCCACAGGGGGGTCCCGCATGGTTGCATAACATTGTTACTGCATTTGATGTTAATGTGAAGTTCCAAAACTACTTCCTAGCTTTACCTAGAGCCGCGCCCACAACACCGTGGATAAAATGGTTTAAATGTTGGCAGAGGATCAATCAATCTGTCATACATCGATCAGCTCCGCATGCCTGATTTCTGCAGTTAGGCAGGGGTTTAAAAGGGGAATCAACGTCATCTTTACTTCCAGGACTAAAGGAGTTTTTTTTATCCCCCTCAGTAACTGTCTACTTTTGCTTCTGGATTGCCAAACAATAAACTCAGTCTGTTTTGAAAGACCTTGCCACATGATTGCTTACACATAACCAGCATGAACAAAAGTGTGTTTAATACTGCTTAATAATCCTAAAATTTAATCAAAGCTCACATTTCTGGACATAATGAATCATGTGCCTCAAAACTAACTAGCTAATTATAGAGAACAATAACGGGCAGGAAAATAAAATGCTCTGTGTGATCGGGAGGACAATACAGGGAAACAATAATCCACCTAATGTAACAAGTGAATTACTGCTAATCTAATATTATTACAGTGACACATAAATGCCTAGAAATAGACAATAAAAACTGCCTACTGATTTACTCTTCTTATCAGGCCAGGATTTCCTACTTCCCATTGCTGCCCTTCACTTTGTTTGTTTGGTTTCTGTGCATGTGGACTCTCCCATGTGTGATGATGATTAACCTGCAGACTTACGTTGAGTCTTCCTGAAGACCCGTGTGCTCATGAACTTGAGGAAGCGGCTGGCGTAAAACCCGGGCCGATGCACCGAGACAGAGTCCTGAGGACAGGCAGAGAAAATGCAGAGATTTTACCAAATAGCCAGTAAAAGGCTTAAGGGTATGTGACCAAATAAAAGGCTCATTCATAAAAGCAGTAGTGTCAGATTTGAACAGGGTATCAACTTACGCCATCGTACACCAGGGCTTTCCATGAATGTTCCAACTTTTTAATGAATCTGGGGAGAAACAAAACAAGAAGAAGCCTTGTCACAAAGGTATTTGCTTACCCAACAACTTCCCCTTTATGGCTGCTCAAACCTAAGACTCTTCCCCTTTCCTTCTTGGCACAATAGAAACTAAGGTTATTTTTCTGTGTATTAGCAGAAAATACATCAACGTTTTAAGTTATATAACGTCTTGAAGTGAAGTAAGCTACCAGAAATAAGACAGGATAAGTGGTGAATGGTGGTGATTGGGTCTTTTCATCCTTCCTCCCTGACCCCATCTCACCTCACCTACTCTGTGTGCATTTGATGCCTCGACCAACCAGGCTGACAAAGATGCATGTGATGCTTTTAAATGTCCACAAGTTTGAAAACCCGATGATCTAAAAGGGTTCCTTCACTGTTACCCGATGCTTTTTCTCTCAGGACGAAAAATCAATGTGTAAATAAAGAAGACTGATAGGCTGCTGTGTCCATTTAATTCATGTTGGATAGAGAAAAAGTCTTGAGTCCTTTCAGGAGTGTGATAAAGTGGCTTGTAGTTCTTTCCATTAATGGAGAGTGATAATTCAACATTTGGAGGTCTTGTCGTAGGGCAAATATCAATCTGAGCAGTTACCGCTTAGAGTCCTTAACTATTCATGCACATTCCCTCTTAACTGTCACATCTTCACTTGCTGTTGAGACGTTTTACTTTTTTAGAATTGAGACACACATTTCTGCAGATCACCCAGTCAGATTTAAATGGGTTTCTTGGCCTAAAAGTCAACAGATTATTGAATTTTCTAATCAGAAATATAACAAGAAAGTACCCCTATAGATGAATAAAATTACATCATTAAGATCAGTACCTGTATGACTGTAGAATATCTATGATACCCAGGAAGATGAGTAGCTTTTCTTCTCTGTGTGTTTTGGCAGGGATACCACCCATCCTAAAACAGAGTAAAAACACAGCAGCTGTCAGAGAATAGCTACCGTTCTTCTTCTGCAATGCTTAAAACACTGTTCAAATACAGGCAATACGCCAACACAGCTTTACAAATGTTTGTAAAAGGGGCACTTACAGTATTTACATTCATGTGTATTGCTGTAAATACGCAGAACAGTGGCTGTGTTTGTATTTGTGTAGCCATGGTTATATGAGAGCCTGACTGTGTGTTCACTGTTTAAGTGTCTTGTGCGAGGTATGAGTACAGTTGTATAACTGTGTCTGGGAGAGAAAAGGTGGAGATTAAGAGACAGACAGAGGCAGAGTGTGTATGCCCAAATATGTGTGCATAATTTGTGTGTTTTCCCCCAGCTGAGCCGACTCACGTGTCATCTGTGGTGAGAGCTTCAGCAGCCTTGCCGTCTCCCTGGATGGACTCCATGGCAGTGGAGTAAAGCACCCTCTGAGCCACGGGTCTCCTCCCGTCCCCCCCTGCCTGGCCCTGCTCGCCCCCATCTCTCTGGTTCTGGTCCAGGACGTGCACACCCAGCAGCAGGCTGTAATCCATGATCTTAAAACTCTCCAGCACCTATAGTAAGTTACAAGACATGCAGTTTTTACAAAAAGTGTGTGATGACACAAGCTAGATTGTGATGGATATTTCACATTTTCTGTGACCTGTTAGAACACCGAAGAGATTATTCTCTTGCACTGGGTGCTTCATCTTGCTTCACTCCTCCTGACAGTAAATATAGCGTCATTATGAAATGAAATGTGTGGAAAAACACTTTTTTCCTCCTAAAACACTTTCATAAGCCACACGCTTCAGCGCTTCAAAGGCTGTGAGCTTGCAAAAGGAAATCTCAGTTTAAACCAGTTTTGAACTAAATAAACAAGGTGTTTCTCCACAGTGAGCCAAGTGTTACACATTGACCTGTCTGAGAAGCTTTTCACCCACTTTCCCAGAGACTCTGCGACTTCATGTCTCCTAAGTGCTCGGGTAAAGCAGTGCAAGGGCAAGACAAGGGTAGAGAGATAGGCAGGAGCTTGATCTGGGAACGGGATCAGAGCCACTGCCAGGTAGCCAGGCTCATGTAATGACCTAGACTGGGGAATAAAGTTACTGTACTGGTTTATAACTCTTGACTTGAATAATTGAAAGTGTTTCGGNNNNGGGCTTAGAAAGACAGAAAGCATGAATTTTCAGAAAGGGAGAGGTCAAAGTTATTTAATTCTGCAAATATACTTTCTATTCAATCATCAGTGAGAGAAGAAGAATCAAAAATAATGCAACTCTCAATAAATCCTCTGTCCAGAAACTCCCCTGTGTGTGTATCTTTAGTTGATGAAAAGACAGAAAGAGCTTAGAGAAAGTCAGGCTTAAGAAGAAATTTCCAAAAACACAACATAGTGACTAAGCCTGATGAAACGTTTATTATTATAGTCTTGGGCATTCTCACTCACACTCCATAAAGAACACATTCTTAAGCCTAATAGAATTGGAAGCACTAAAAAAGCTTCTGATATAATCAAAGAGAGACACGAGCCAGAATCCTGAGAAAACTGGCCTGATTCTGTGAAGAATGTGAGACCAATAGTGTTTTGAAACTGACCTACAACTTCCTCTTATCTTTATGTAGATAAGCCATTTTCAATGCACGAAAGAAGGTCAAACAAGATTATTAGTCTAGTTGGTTGTAAATCCAGTTTGCATCTATAATAGAAACTGCTGATGTATAAAGTCACACAAATTCATACTCAAACACACAACCACAAATAGACTTAATGACTGACTCGGGCAAACACTGCAGCTTTTGTCTGAGCTTTGCCTTTTCCATATCAACGATTTGCATCCCTTCACTCAAACTCCCCCAGCCTATTCAAACAGCAGCCATTTTAAATAGAGCCATGCACACCAGGCTGCCTACAGAAGGCCATTACTATGTGTCCTGGCCCCAGCTTTCCCAGGCAAACAATCAAACCGTCACAGTAAAAAGAAAACAGCTGCATTTCTATAGTGGTTTGTGCAAAAGATTTTCTTTGGATTCGGAAAAATACTGTTTAAATGTACAAGCACAGAAAATTATCAGTTATTGGATTGTAATATTACAGATTCTTAGATGCTTAAACGCCAAGTGTTTGGGTCTCTCCCCTGCGCATCCTGGCCTATGCTCTCATTTCAAACGCAGCTCCGTTTTCTCACAGTGAATGAAAAAAGGATAATCCTTACACTCCTGAAGGAGGTGAGCTTTGTCACAGCATCCCCTGATCTTTAACAAATCTCTGATGTTTCTCAGTATATTCCACCCTGAAGCACTCCTCCACCCATCTATCTATCTCTGTGCCAGTAGGGTAGCAGAGCTCCCAATAGTGCTCACTGGTGTGCTCCACTTTGCAGTGAAACTAATACACTGAAAGCTTTGTTAAGTATGAGTCTGTATGAGGCTGGGTCACTCATCCTGTGTATACGCTGACTCCAGTAACAATCACAGGAATGTTTCTGCTATCTCGATAATTCATGAGTACAACCTGCTACCCATGACACAACATATTAGATTAGGGACGTGTGGCTTTTAATTTTGTCACTTGTTCAGACTCGTAACTGACTCTTTACATTAAACTGCACAGAACAGTTTCACAAAATCTTTGCATCATCTCCTTTTTTTCTTCTGTTTCTGATAAAGCTTGTTCCCAAAATAAAACTTCTTGTCTTGTAACAACTGTAATAATGGAATTTAAAATAATTTATTTCTGTCTCTGGATTAATTTCACATCACAAATTTGTATGAAGACCTGTGTAGAGCTAGAATGATTATTTAAATAATCGATTAGTCCATCCACGGAAAATTTATCTGCAAAAGTTTTGATTAATTTTTTTTTTTAAATGAAACTAATTAATTAAAAAACATGTAATTTTTGTATAATTTAAAATAAGTTAGTAAGATAATAAGCAATCATGGCTCCAAATGGAACAATTGGGAAGAGAAGTGTGGATAAGGAGTACCCTGGTTCCATTCAGGATTCAACAACAAATAATCTTCTTATTAGGAAGTATTTCTGATTCTGATAAAGTTGAATAGGTTCTGCCTGCACAACTGTATTTTAACATTGGTGGAGAGCCTAAAATATTCCATAGAGGTGGTAGGTGGTGTAAAAGTTTGAGAAACACTGATTTAAGAACAAATCCCTGGTTTCAACTTCTCAAATGGAAATCTTTTCTGGTTTTCTTACTTTTCTCTGATAGTAAACAGAATATCTTTAACTTTAAATATTGGTGGGACAAAACAAGACACCTGAACACATCACCATAGGCTCTGGGAACTTATGACTTTTCACTATGTTTATTAATAATCATTAGTTGACCTGTGTAATTAAGAGGTTTTAGCCATATGTAGTGAATGTGGTTAAGGATCCCGTTGAAGCCTTACTGACTTCTGACTGCAAGGTCAAGGCCTTGGTTTTCTGCAGAGGAGAGTGAGAGAAGCCATTGTTGTCACAGAATCACATGGCTGAGAAGAGGGGGAACCATACAGTAAATGGTTGTTTATGATTGGCTACACTGACTGCTATGCGACCCATTATTGTCCAATGTCCAAGAATGCATGCCTACGTTGTCTGAGTCACTATTTCTGCACTTGTTTGTATGTGACATTAAAGGACTCCTATTTCACGAATTCTCAAGCAGAATTGAACAGTGCGTGGATACCATTTGGCCTGGGTGGTCCCCAACATGACAACTGTCAAACATGTGCTGTGAACAAAACTGTCTCAACAGCTTGACATTATCATCAGTACCACTATCATCATTATATGTCTCACAGCTGCTGCACAGTCAGTGTAATACAACTGGGACATGATGCTCTTCTCTGATTCAAATCACACACACACACATACAGCCAGCACAAGAACGGCACAAACACACACTCACGATACAATAAAAACTCCCTGTCTCACTCTCTCTCTCTGTACAGTAGAGTTCAACATGAATTATTAATGCCTTGTGTTGTTGTTGGCATTTGTGGAGTATCAGGGGAGCTGCAGAGTAATGGAGAGAGTAGGCTTAAAAGGAAGAAAGCGTACCCTGTGTTTCCCTATTAGTGTCCCACATAGCAGAAGTCTCTGATTCTCTAAAACATACTGCTCATCCTCCTCTTTGTCTCATCGCTATGCTTTCTGCTTTAACTCAATTCTGACCTCCTACATTCCTATGAAACAGAAATCACAGCACCCCAAGCACTGGAAAAATAGCTAGAATTTGTTTTTCAGAGGCCTCACCACATGTGCTTTCATTGGACAACAATCCCACTTCCTCATTCCCTCCATGCCCCTCACCCCCTGTTGCTTGGCTTCTGCTGACCCCTCCTCTGTGTTTTGCTCCACAGCCTCTCCTGGGGTGACGGGGTTAGCTGCTTACTCATGGAAATGGACAGTGATTCTGCTTAGAGGGCACTTTGCTTCCCGCTCAGGAGGCGAGCGCAGGAAGCCATGACAATAACAAACTGTACAGTACAGAATCTCTAACAGCTGCTGCTAAACATTTTCACTTACATATATCAGACAGACACACACACTCCAACATATACTTTATATACATACAATATGTAGCACAGTCGGGCCTGTACATGCACACATAGTGGGTAGACAGTGGATGCCTGGGGTATGTTTGGGCAAGGTTGTAGATGGGAGTGTGTTGCTGGGTTAAGGAGGTACTGACTTAGCAAAAGGGGAGGATGTCATTCTGCCTGCAATCTGTTTAAGAAAACATTAAAAAGAAAATAGAGGATATCAACAAAGTCAGCATATTAGTTAATGATGATAGGAAGGGCCCCTGAAGTTCGTATGAATTTCTGGTCATTTTACTCTAACCTCACAAGCACCAAGTCGGTTCAAAAGCGAGATACTGTTTGACTTAAAAAGTGGGAAAGCAACAGCTGTTCACACCTGTTTACATACTTTTCCCAGAAAGATACTCCACTTTCCCAAAAGAGCAACACTACACACAAGCTTACTGAAAATGAAAGTCATGACATTTCATGAAATTTGCTTTTTGATAAGGAGAGAAGAGAAGAGAAGAGGATAAAAGAGAAGAGAAGAGAAGAGAAGAGAAGAGTGCTCTGTTACTTAACACAGTGAACTAAATATACCCACAGCATCACACTGTTCATTACCGCTAACTCCATTCCATGCGCAATCAATCACTGCTTGACGATAAAACCATCAAGATTCATCTATTCCCACACACTAAAAAATGAAACATTTAAGCTGATGCAGGTGTAATGGAAGTAATTAACGTTGTAAGCTGAATGGTGCCATGCAGGGTTGCCAGGTCGGGCAGGTTGGCTGGGCCCGGCAGGAAGTATTTCTTTCTGGTCTCTGCGCCTCATCTGATACACCAGTCCACACTTAAAAGTAACATCCTGGTCAGATTCCAGGTTGAACCCCATGGAGGATCTGTGCTGTGTGTGTGTGTATGTGTGTGTGCAGTTATTGTATGTCAAGCAGAACAAATGGGATTACAACACATGGGGCTTTAGGGCCATCGTTAACCAGCCAATATGAAGGTAGAAAACATTAAATCAGTGTCTGGAAGCCACATTGTCATCACTCATACAGCCCCAAGAGGCCATCCACCTGATCCACATGAAGAACAACAGGGCAGGAATGTCACTGCGCAAATATATATTTAGCTTACCTGGGAACCAACCCAAAGAATTATTGTGCAGATTGACAATCCAAGATTTTACTGTTCATCAGTCCATCTACAGATTTTTTTTAAACTTTCTAGCACATAACTCTGTGGTCTAGTAGTCACAGTATCTCAGATGTTGTTATTTTAGAGGCAGAGGAAAAGCACATCAGCAATTCTGCTCTTCTGTTCTGGTTATTTTGCTTTTTAAACAATTGTGGTCAAAAAACACATAAGCAAAATTTTGTAAAATGTATTATACATAGTCCCTCAGTTTCCACTACTAGGCTGTTTTCACAGACAATTTCTCTGACACTGGTGTAATGTAGACAGTATTGTCGTTTGTGCTAGCTAGCTCAGATAACTAATTTTGTATGCTGTTGTTGTTTTCATGCTTCTAAAAGCAGGAAAATACTGGTGAATCACCAGTGCACAGGCCATGTCTCCTATTAAACTCCAACCAGCCTCCTCCAGCAGACAGTCTCCTGGCCTCTGTGTTAAAATAGAGAAGAATGTGAGCCTTTAGATTGGGGGACTATCTTTGGATCGAGCTTGGAGTCTCTCATGCTACCAGGATCATGTCTTAATCACATTCAGTGTTTGGAGAGCTGTCATGTACTGAAACATAGCAGCACAGAGACGGGAGAACAGAGCCTGGGGCAAACTAAAAGCTTAGACTGAACACACAGTGGGAACACACAGTGGGAACACACGGTGGGAACACACTGCGGTTCCATTGGCAAACACATGGAAAAATCTTGTTCCAAAGTATTTTGTCCTATCTAAAATGCACACACACACTGTCCTGAACTAGTACACAATGTGGTTAACTGATGCTTATTATGTGTTTAAGCTTCCATAATCGGTTACAAAAATGAGAGTTCAATTACATGCCTTCAACAGCTATGTCCCTTCAGTCCAGTGAGTTCCCAGGTTCAAAGCAATCTGCTCTAAGCTCTGATATGGCACATGACATAATGTCCATGTGGGGCTTTGCTGCACACGGGTCAAAATGTTTTAGAGAAGGAATGAAGGCATGAGAATCCAATAGAAATGGCCTTCTAAAGGAAAGTATTCTGATAATGAAACAAAAATCCCCTGATCCTAGACATCCTTCTTTGTAGCACAGCTTCCTGTTGAAAAATAATAGTGACTTTCCTGGTATGACTGTGCTAATCCAACGAACAGACAATAATGAGCACATATAAACACAATCACATGCGCCAACCACTGCTAAAACCACCTACCCGACAGTCTCTCTGCAGGGTCTTCATTAGATTGTTGTATGTCTCTGCGTCGAAGTAAAGCCCTTCTTCATGCATATCCTGGAAGTCCAGGTCTTTGTAGGTCGGACAAGCCTTCTCTCTCTCTTTTCTGGACGCTCGTCTCTTGTAGGTGGATCCCTTCAGGTCGTATTTGTAGTGCATTTTGACGGAGCGTGGCAGCACGTTGTTCATCACTACCAGTCGGATGTTGATGCCTCCCGACTGGATGCAGTACAGTCCGTAGAATTTGGGCAACAGTGTGCGTGGATTCTGGTTCAGGTTCTGTGAAGTGAAAGACAGCCTAAGTCACAAGGAGGATGAAAATACACATGAATAATTTCATTGATTTAGACTACACTTTTACCTTAAAGTAATTGGGAAACTGAATGAGATAAAGGGGAAAAGTTTGGTTCCCGTGTTGCAAATTATGTGATGAATATAATAGGCTTTTAGGTATTTACGTGGCTGCAGAAAACCCCATACACTTGTTACTGTTTGTGGATTGCTTTATTTCATAAAAATGCAATTCCTATATTTGGTACTGTTTAAAAACTAAATAGAAATATAACATATCATGGACCATTTTCTTTTTTTTATTACAATCATGTTTTACTGCTAATTAATTTCTCTTCTACAGTGTAAAGTCTAAAAAAGAGTGAAGTTAGAGCCAATGTAGGTGCAGTGGATCTTCAAAGTAATATAGGTTATAGGTATGAATAAGTGAGCAAAATGATCAAACGTTTGACTTCTGTACATGCAAGACTCTTCTCAGTCTGATGGTGCCCTACAACTGGAGCTGATAAGAATGTTCACTACATCTCATTCATGCCACTTAAGCATCTGATGAGTGATCTGTTCAAATTTAACACTATACACCCATTCAATACTGAGAAGTGGAGTTTTGCAATCTCAACAGGTGCTGGAGAGCTCATGAAGGAACTTTACCATATAGTATCCAGGTAGCAATCTCTGCAGGAACTTGGCCTCTTTATGCTGGACGGTTTTAATGATGAACTCGTCATCGCTGGTTAGGTAGAAGAGAGAGCCGCTTGCCCCCGGGTTGGTCAGCTCAATCAGAGGCTCATTCACCAGGGAGTACTAAGGAAGGAGAATCATAAACAAATCATTTTAAGGTCAGACTTCTAGAGAACAGCATCACTTGGAACATCAAGACATAAACAGCTCTAAACACATAAACTACAATACAGAAAAAAATGAAACACTAGTTAAACTTTATGTGGAAAATATGATTAAACAAAGATGCTACACAGACAGACTTGTCTATTTAGTGCTAGAAGTAAAACATTGCAGTAAATCTTCACTGGCTTTATGACATTTACAGTAAGTCTTGTAATACAAAAGCACCAGGTTTCTTTTCAAATACATGGTTATGGTTTAGCAGCTTAATACACTGTGTGACCAAAAATTATGCAACCAGGTTAACCAGGTTAAAATTCACCCCCAAGGTGTGGAATGGGGTGCAGGCCAGTCCAAGACCACAGAAAACCATTTCTTTATGGATGTGGAAAAGTTGGAAGCATACTGCTGTCTAAAATATCATTGTATGATGTAGTAATGAGATTTTGTTTAGTTGGACCAAAAAAGTACATGGTTGTCCACATACTTTTGGCCATATAACTTACAGCGTTGATTAAAGCAGCTCTCTGTCTACATTATTTTCATTGTTCATTAAAACACTTATTAGTTCATTACAGAAATACCAAATCTGAATCACATGACTACAAAGCTTAACTGCGTGCCAAACTTTAATGAAATCTACAGACATTTGACCCTTGCTGCTGACAAACAATCAAACAAGCCCACGAGCATGGACAGATACATAAGCTCCGCGAGGGTAATAAGTAGCAATTACTGCTTCTGCTGCATCTCAGAAAAGACACCAGAGACAACGTGTGAAGGAAAGACTATGAGAGCAGCCGACTGAGGAGAACAGTTAGATGTTAATCAGTGCATTATGAGAGCAACATGTTCAGAGGAGAGGAGAAACACTGGAGGCATCCGCTCTCCCTCTCCAGAGACTCTTCCACTGATAACCGTCTACAGTCACATTGAGTTACCAGCACAAACACAACCGCAGTTTATTGCATTTGCATTCAGGATACCAAATGTGTGTCCACGATAAAAAAGCCCATATTCAGTCGTTTATGTGTTGTAATTGTGGAAAAATAGTTGCACGCGCTCGATGGAAAGCGTATGTCCGTCTAAAATATCATTGTATTGTGAATGCCTAGTATATATTACTTCTCTTTGAGTACAATTTATCATGTTTTAGTTTGTGTAAAATTCCAAAAAAAAAATAAGGAATATATACGTGTGTATTGGTGCCCTATCGATTACATTGGGTTTTTTATTGGCCATTAAATATACAGTTTACTAGCTCGTTATGATTTCAGTATACCATGCTCGTCTGTCTTACAAGCTTCATTCTCAATAACTCTACCATCTAAGTTCATAAAGCACACTTCTAATTAGATTCATCTCTATCTATGATTATATGATACATCTTGATAATCACTATGTTAACTTACGAGTGAAGAACAAGATGAGACATTCAGAGACTGCGCCGCGCAAAGTTATTACATTAGGATACAGATCGACAGGTACTAGGCATTGTGGACCATTGACATGCTAGTGGGAAAAACAACATATACAACCGCATTGATACTCACACATCTGAGGTGTATGAAATCTAACATCTCAGAAACCCACCACAGCACACGTAGTATTAAAGGACCAACACACAACACACCAAACCACACACACACACACCGCACACCACAACACCAACACCACAAAAAACATATTACCTGTGGGACAAAAATTATGCAACCAGGTTAACCAGGTTAAATTCACCCAAGGTAGTGGAATGGGGTGCAGGCCAGTCCAAGACCCACAGGAAACCATTTCTTATGGATGGTGGAAAAAGTTGGAAGCATACGCTTTTTTTCTCTATGATGATAGTCATTGTATGATGTAGTAATTGAGAGTTTGTTTGAGTTGCGAACCAAAAAGCTCATGGTTGGGTTCCAGATACTGTTTGGCGCATATAGACTTACTAGCGTTGATTAAGACAGCTCTCTGTCTCATATTTTCCGATTGTCATTAAAAACACTTATTAGTTCATTACGGAAAATACCACAATTCTGAACTGCACAGGACTACAAGCTAACCTGGTGCCAAAGCTTTAATGAAATCTACAGACTGTAGACCCTTGCGCGACAAACAACAAGGACAGCCCACGAGCATGGAACAGAACATAAGCTCCGCGAGGGTAATGAATAGCAAAGTTACTTGCTTCTGCTGCATCTCGAGAAAAGCACCAGAGAGCAACGGTGAAGGAAAGACTATGAGAGCAGCGGCCGAGCGGAGGAGGAACAGTTAGATGGTGTACATCGACGCAGTGCATGTGAGTGAGAGCAACAGTGTCAGAGGAGAGGAGAATACCTGGGAGGCATTCGCGCTCGCGCCGCTCTGTCGCAGAGCTGTTCTGAGCTGGAGTATGATCGTCGGTGCGTTACATCACATTTTTGGAGTGTGTTACCTAGCGACAAAGGCACAACGCCGCAGTTTATCTTGCAGTTGCATTCCAGGTGTCTGGTCCGAA